GTTAACCCCCGAATTTTGATCTAGGACCAATGTGTAGGAAGGCAACCCCAGAGGCGGGAGCTTCGAATTATGGGAACGACAAAGACTCCAAACAAGAGCAATAACCCTTTGCCCATTTTGAAGCGGGTGTGTTGTAGATTTTCTTTTTCGACATCACTTATCCGTCTTGAAGGGGCGTAGAGAACACGGTTCAGGATGGCTAACAATTGTGATCTCGTAGACCCGCCTATAGCCAATGCTTGTAACTCGCAGTTTCCTGGATGGATTGAAACGGATGGGATTGGCATTTGGGGGGGGGGGGGGGTATAGAGTTTGTAGGAGAATATAGGAGAATTTCGGCCACTGAAAGGCCAGTTAGTTGATAGTTGACAGTTGAACCTCGGGCGATACATTCATATTTTTCTTTCAACCGCGACTTTATCAGTTGATGTTTTAGGCTTAGAGGGACAATGTTTATTGTATCGAAAGAGGATGGAAGTCCTAAATAATCATGGTTAAATCAAAATGTCCTCCTATTCTATTGCCCAATGCCTATTATTCATATCCGAGTCTCATCCGTCATCCGAAGGCATCGATGTATCGTATCGTCGAAGCAAAAATAAGGTTTACGATCTACAGAACTTAATAGTCTTGGCACTTGAGGCTCAACCAATATTAAGCTTCAGGGGCTCCGATCCGCTAGTGCCAAAGTAGGACTAGCGTCCAATGGCGGCTGACTGGTCGTGATTTTTATGTTTCTACCATGGCAAATTGTTTGGGAATGTCAACAGAACGAGTGGTGTTACTTTCAACAACGCCATTTAGGACACGGGTCCTCCAAATTTCTCAATTTTCTATTCCGAGGCCAATTTTCGAAAATCACACTAATTTTCATCGTCTTTATATGGTCTTCAGCTTCTTTCTTTCTATCAAGGATCTTTCGAGAGGATGTATCAAGCAGAAAAAGGGGGGAAAACAAACGTCATCCAAAACTCGCGCAGAACTAGGAATGGAGCAAAATATCCTAAAAATGTGACACTGGGCCACCACAAATAAACAAAAGAGAAAATAACAAAAAGAAAAAAGAGAAACAAAACAATTCTAACGTCATACTTCCCCAACGTCACAAATAGTAGTCCATTGAATGTTCTTTTAAACCACGTGGGACTGACAGCCCCTCAACAGTCCAACTGGCAATAGCTAACTCAAACACCCAGGCAAGAATAGTCTTCCCCCAATGCGTCTCCCTGCCCCAGATCCGCATCCTCAATAACAGCCCTCAACACCATTCAGAATAAAGAAAGCGTAGATCCGGGCGAGAGCATCGAAGGGTAATAGAGGCTTCAGGCCATACACGTGGAAAAACCCCATCAGCCCAAACGACGCAACCACGCCAAGCGCCCTGGCTATGGACACTGGCACGCCGTATCGCTCGGGTAGTGTATACCGTATCGGCTCATATGCGAGAGAGCGGCAGGGACTGGCAAAAGAACTGTGCCATGTTTCACTCCAGAACGTGCTCAGGGAACTTGCCGTGTAAAGAGGTCCAAACAACGGAGGGCTGGTGCGGTAACGGAGTAGAAGCTGAAGGCTCTCCCAGAGTACATATATGGCGAGTAGAACTTCCAAAGCAACCACTGTAGGGTTTGATTGTGGAAAGAACATTTGTAGAATGGCAAAAAGTATGGCGTGGAGTACTAGATTGCCCCGTTCGGTAAAGTGAGGTTTCCATTGCTGCGACTTGGGACTTCCCCGACCATTGCGATAGTTATTTTCACTCTTCACTTTTGAGAAACCGGGTGCTGGGGCGGGGCCGAGCCGTGTGGTGTTTGGTGTAAAAGATTCGTACCGCAATTCTGTCAGGTAGAGGAGAGCAAGCAAGCCGTGTGATGGCGTTGGATCATGCGCATACTGCGGCGGGTTATGACGACGGGCGAATAGGTCTAGCGCCTTCATCACTCCAATCGCAACTGTATTTTCGGTCAGGAAATGATTGAAATGACTGAATATTGATGCTGCTTCTCTGATGCAACGATGCCAGGCTCAGAAATAATACAAAACTCCATTCAGTATGGATACCAATACCCCCAAACATCACCCCGGATTTTGTAAAACAGTGCCATTTACCGGCCGAGTGCCTGAATAGTTATCGCCCAAGCAGATGGAAAAGAAAACAAGAATCAAAAATCAAAAAAAAGAAATATGAAGAGGTGAATCTCCTTACCGGCAAAAAGCTGCAGGCTCCGGATCATATTGCACTCCAACACCACCAGGCAACTACTCGTAATGAATCCAATACTCGCCAACAGGCTCAGAATCTCGAAGCTCCTGGTCTTGCGCTTAGCAAGCGCATATAGTGAGGAATAAAGCAGCAAACCAGGCACCAGCAGTGATGCGATGCAGAAGAATAGGTTGATTCCTACTTGCTTGAACGCTCTTTGGCCTTCAGGAGTAGGCACAAACCAGTCGACTAATGGTTTGGCCATGTCTCCAGAGCTGATCTGAGATCCCGTCGCAAAGCCTCGTCGCTCCGATTCCTCGGCGTTTATCAGAGCGCCGAGGTATGCAAAGATCGCACTTTATCCTTTTCCCTTTTTTGTCTTTTCTTGAGATGGAAGAGAAGCTATTCAGAAGATCCAAGATGGGTATAACCAGGGCACCAGCTATGCAATGAACGGAAAGCACAGGGCATCCAGTACAACAACCATGGAATGGAAAACAATGTAGCGAGCGACGTTGTCACTTAGCTTAGAGCAAGTTGGCCACTTAGCTTGCGTCAAATCAGTGACAATGACCCAGATCAATTACAGCATCAAGAGAAAAAAAACAAAGATGCCTTCTCAAAACAGAAACAAAGGAGGTAAAGGAATGGCTTCTGCTTTCTCTTCCAATTCAAGTAGAACAGGAGTACGATGATTTTGGTACAAGGGATAGCGTCAAGTCGCCAACGTTCACCCCGCAATGCCTTGGAGAATCGGTATCTGAGTGTCCCAGTTGTCCCACTTCGTTCATGCTAATAAAAGTTGGCGCTTTGACACACAGAGCCGGAAGTTCCGGCAATCCTCGGTTGTGCCGAGCCGGTCTCTCTGCTCTGTATAGAAGTATACTGTATATAATATTTTCTGGCCCATTCATCTATTTCTGAAAGGCAATGGGTTATAACATTGCCGACAGGTATTCTAGATCCATAATTTAAAGAGTAATAATTTAGTTTATTTGAGCTTCACTGGTGCCAGTCATCGAGTTAGGTGGGAAGGGAGCAATTATATTATTTAAACTGCGGAATTCATTGCATGCTAGTTTCTCTATGTGCTAGGACTAAATAAACTGAGGAATTCATTGCTACAAAACACCAGGACAGTTCTCACTAGATAGACGGCCGCTGTTCGAGTCTCTGGGGGAAATCGTTCAAGATTCTTCACAGCCTCTTGGGAACTTCAAAAACAGGAGTGTAAAAGTAATATAAAACGCAAGCAAGGAATGAGTATGACTTCCGCGTGGCGAAATGGGAGTTGCAATGGGATGGCCGTCCGACTCCAAAATTTCGAACCAGGTATAAGGAATGAGCGCATTGGGAACTAGATTGTTGTTGATTTCAACTTCTCGCCTAGCTCATCAACTGTTTTATCCACATTCTGAACTACTGACTGGTTCTCAGCCACGTCAGCCTCCGTGGGTATATGTTCGGCTTTTGCTTGAATGTCGATTTCAGTATCAGTCGCTACGCTTTCCCATTCCCATTCCTCCTCCTCCTCCTCCTCTTCTTCCTCCTCACCTTCTAGCTCGTCAAGTTCATCTAGACCCCATGCATCTTCCTCGTCATTTTTTCCAAATCGTGCTTTGCGTCTCTTCAATAGCTCTTGTAGTCTCATGATATTTTCGTTATCCTCATCAAAAGCATTCGCATTAAGGAAAACCTTCTTAATCGCGGGGAGGCTAGTTTTAGCAACATGAACCAACGCTCCCACCCCCTTGCCATTTATCTCGTTCCCTTTCAGCTTAAGAATCTCAAGTTTCGTATTCCCGCCAGCAGAAAGCACCTTCGCAACCCGGAGCCAGCCCTTGGCCGTGAGAGCACAGTCGTCAACCCCCAGCTCGCGAAGAGATGGCAATCCCGACAATACCGCGGCTAGAGCAACAGAGCCTTCCTTCCCATACGTATTATCTTCCAAGTCGAAGACTTCCAACTCAGGCGCATGACAAATGCCAGTGTTCAGTAGTTTTACGACGCCCTTGGAATAAATGCCATTCTGCTTCATCCTAATTGTCCGAAGTCCCTTGCCGTTTGCCTTAATAGCCCGTGCCCATGCTTCCATGCTTCCAGCCTCGAGTCTGTTCCGACCACAGACGATGGTCTCGAGGGCTGGGATTTCATATTTTATTTCAGGGTTGGATCGCGCTTTGAGTTTACTCTCACTAAGCTCTGTTAGAGCATTCGCGATAAACGTACCTGCCTCTGGGCCTAGGCCATTGTTGTTCAATATCAGGTGGCGGAGGGGGAGGTGTGCTCTTAGAAACTCGACGAGGGGATCTTTGGTATTCACGCCGAATGCGTTATCGCTGAGATCGACAGTTTGCAGGGTGTGGACGTCAAGGAGAGGCCTGAGGAGGGAGTAGAGCGCGGTAGGGATTTCGCTAAGCAGTCGACCGGTGAAAAGATCGTCCAGTCGTATGGTTTCTAACTTTTTCTGTTTGCGCAAAAGCAGTCCCAGTTTCCTGCATGCATCGGGGCTGTATGAGTTACCCCCAAGGTGTACCTCAGTGAAGACATCGTCAGTGTTGATGAGAGGTTCAATATATTTTTCAAGATCCTCAAGGCGATCGTCGTCCACCTTTTTGAGCTCAGCGTCGATCTTTCTGATCTCATCTTCGATTTTCTTCAATTTTGTTTCTTTATCCTGTTTCGCCTGCAGCTGGCGTCTATTCCCTTCCAATATTTCCTTCTCCTTTTCAAGGATTTCTCTCTTGGAGTCAAATCTCTGGCCTTTGACCCCAATGACAAAGAGGGTATGTGGAGGGGTCATGGCGGGGTAAATATTGCTGTGCAACGACACGAT